ATATATATACTAAACCTTTAAAGATTTAAAGAACCAATGATTTAAACCAATCACTTCAACTCTGCTGTGGGAGCATACGTGGCTGCACAGCTGTCAGGACACGTTTGACAACATTTAATGCATTTTTCCTCGTGGCTTACGTCCAGAAACTTCCTGTTCTTCTCCAGCTGCTTCTCCAGCGCTTGAATCTGCTGTTGGAGGTCTCCGCTCTCCGTCTTCTGAGCATGCTCCAGCTCAATCACCCTGTTGACCTGCTCCTCCAGCTCCGCCTCCAGTAGCTTCACCTGCTTCAGGAGGTCGGTGTTCTCCTTCTCTGCTTGACGCTGGACATCCACCTTCTCCTTCATCAGCTTCTCCGTTTCCTCCAGCAGGTCTACGGGACACGACGAAGGGAGGAGGGTAAGATCAGCTGACAAATTCGTCTATGAGTCACGCGAGTCTGATTTTGGCATGAAACGCAGATGCTGAGATGAAACTGAAGAGTCTAAAGCTTGGGTGCCATCATGTGGTCAGAATTAATCCAAGTTTTGCTTTTTTGAAATAATGATTCATGTTAAATTTATGCAATCTGAAAAAGCAACCAAAATCAGACTCTTCCAACGTCTCAGCTTTCCAACCCTGTTACCAATCATCACCCCACGGTCTCCTCTCCTTTCTGCTGCCACCAGTGATTATCCCACACCGCTAAACTCAGGATTAAACTCAGCAGGATCGGTGCAAAATTAACAGGGTGATAGAGTGCAAATGACAAATCAGACACAGGACAGTCCAGACATTTAACCATGCCCAATAAGCTTTTACAGGCAGGGGGAGAGTTCCTCCTGAACAGCCAATCATTTCACTCAAAAGTTGAAACAGATGGCTGATAAACAGGAGGAAATAATGTTATAATAACGCCTGAAGATTCATCATGCCTAAACAAATGCCAACACTGACTCTGGACAATTAAAAGTGACAAATCGAGACGAAAACCAGTTAAAAAAAAGGCAACAAAGGGTTAGTGATTGTTTGAGGTGAGTTTGTGAGCAGATAGCAAGCAAGCTCCAAGCTTTGTTGGCAAATTGCTGGATTAGGGTTAGAGAGATACAACTGCCACTTAGCCAGACRATTTAAAAACATGTACAGATATGACTGAGCCATGCTCACAGTGGGGACACACCTGCTTCAGGTGCTGCAACCATTGCAGCTTCAACTAGGCCTACGGGAGAATGAGAAAGCACAGAAATTTAACATGCTTGTTTTGCCATGAACAGGAAAAGTCTAATAAAGATTAGGGAAGGGTGAAAACAGGGAGGCTGCTTCTTTTCCTTTCTTCTTTTCATCTCACTGTAKAAACCTAAATCTGTAGAAATGACGACGTAAAAAGAGAATGGTACTGAGCGGAGTCCTGTTAACATTTAATGCAGAATACTCACCTTTTCTGAAAGATTAAAAAGAATAAATATTTTTTGAAAATATAGAGAGAAAAAATATACATCAAAATCTGTGGAAATGGTTACACGTTTCAAGTTACTTCTTTGAAAATACAAGCAATGACTTCAAATTTACTTTTTAACAAAGACAGAAAATACTCCAACAAAACCTTTGTAATTAACTGTGGTATTTCTTTAATGACGCTGCCTAACTAAGATTAAAAAAATCTCTTTGGACTGCAACAATGTACTCAAAACCAAATCAAGTCCAAATTGCCAGCATGCTTCGAAAAGAACTGAAAAACAACTGCTGTGTACTCATCAAACCCAGCTCTACATCAATGTTTCACACTAAATAAACCTCTCACGCAGAAATCAATAAACAATTTACTGCTCGTGACTAACTCTGACCTTTACACAGCCAAACAAGAAACATGATTCTTGATTTGTTTTGTTATTAACTGAAAAAGTAGCCAGCTTCAAGTAAACCCTTTTAAAAATCAATTTTCGTCCTCCACATTGTTCCTCGATACTTACGAAGTTCACGTGGTCCAGCCTCCTCCCTCATGGCGTCCTGTTGTCGCGACAGCAGCTCACGTTCCTCAAGCATCTGAAGTCTTTCCWGCTCCAGCTCGTGCAGCCGGCTACCTGTTACCTGCGTGGGAAATTTAAAAACTTTATTTGCAACAAACTGCATGAAAAGGTCTCACTGCTCTTATAACCACAAGGATTTCTAATAATATTATTTAAACTGGCAAGATGGTGTTTCTATTATTATGCAAGTTTCTTGAAGGGCATTTTTAGCAGCAGAATGTGTGAAATAATCTATATTTATTAGAAAAAAGGAGCATGTCACTCAAAGCCTTGTCTTTTAAAATCCTAACATGAATTTCATGTTTCAATTCTTCATTCATCTGCCCCTTTTTTCTCAAGAATAAGTTCATATAACAAAAAAATCTATGTTATTAACAAAACAAAAGACAAGAACATCTAAYCCCTCTAGAACAACAATTTATATAGATACACCTTATACTGTTTCGTATTTCTTTARCMATCCARCTTTYATCATTTTCTTAAATGTACACAGTGGGCCTCATGCAAGAACCGTTCGTACGCACAGATTTGTTCTTAAGTTGTGCGTACGAGTGATTTAGGAGAATTTGTGGCATTCACCAATGTTTTCGTATTCTAAGAATTTTTTCAGATACGAACAAAATTCACGAGTGGTCCAGACCTGTCGTATATTTTACGAGCAGTCAGTCTGCTGTTATCCAGGCGGGTTTTCCTCCCTAATAACTCTATATTTCGTTAGTTTGAAGAWATTTTGAGTTGAAAATAAATCACACTCCGTAATTATCTTGACAATAGGCTATTCTGCTTGAATTAGAGTTATAATTTTAAATGTAATAATTTAGACTAACAATATAAATTGTCCGTTCGTCCGTTTCCCCCCGCTTATCCGGGATCGGGTCGCATGGGCAGCTGCAGAGAGACCCCGCTCTCCCCAGCGACACTTTCCAGCTCGTCCCGGGGGGCTCCGAGACGTTCCCAGGCCAGAGGGGGTACATAATCCCTCCAGCGAGTCCTGGATTTTCTCCAAAGTGCCAGACATATTTTGAAAACATTTTAAAAATGCTTATTTCAAACCCGCATCTGAGACCACCCTCGACTGCGCAGCGCCGTGGCTTCTGAATAAATGAAAATGATTTATTTAACACAGTTGTTTATACTTTTAGCAGCTCTTTTTATTCCACAGTTGACCTGCTAAAATGACAGATTTTCTTTTCTGGATCTCTGACAGACGGACTTCAATCTCTGAACTCATAAAGTTCTTCTTTTTAGTTTTCGCTGTCATTTTCATGAATGGACACTTCCTGATATCTGAGGTAGGAAACATACAGTAGCCTTATATGGTGTTTTTGKGGTGGTAATTATGCTAATCTCCTCTCGCGTGCACGAGCAGCTGGATACGAACAGGTGGAATTTACGCAGCTCATTTACACACTTTTCCTGAAGATAGAAGAGTTTGTTGAATCTGACGTGGCATGTTCGTACGAACCCTTTGTACGAACAAAAGTAAGAGAAATTTAGGATAAGAATACGAACATGTTCTTGCATGAGGCCCAATGATCCTGCATTTGTTACATCACTCCCCAAGTTATTCCATAGTTTTATTCCTTGAATTAAAGCACACCGTTACTTCGAACTAGTTCTGAATTTGGGTTTTAGAAATATCTCTGTCCCTTTAAGGTAATAACAACTCTTTCTCTTAACAAAATTTACTCGGATGTTTAAAGGTAATGTGTTTTGTGGGCCAGTAGAATATTATAAATCAACCAAATTAAAGAACTTCAATATTTTCAATTTACAATAATTATAGTAATATTAAGATGACAGTAGAGCACACCAAAACCATCTTATGACTATTTGTCCCACATTTATGATTTGTTTATTTTACAACAGTATCCCTTAGATCAGGAGCCAAAATCAACCTTTAATGTTTCCACAACTCATTTGCTTTTCAGAAGTAATTACTCCTCCCTGCAGCTCACCTGCAGCTCTTGCTCGAGGCTCTGCTGGAGCTCTTCTGTCTGGCGTAGCTGCTCCTCCAGCGCAGTCCGTTCACCCGTGTAGCCATCTATGAGACCTGCGTGCAGTCAGTGCAAGAAAAGCACGGTTAAAACTAAATAATAAAACAGCAGCACATACATCACCAAAAAAGAGAATTTCATGAGTAATTTCTGCTCCCGTTCTCAAGCCTTTAGATTTCATTTTGTTGTTCTTGTTCAGCTTTAGTCAGACATGTCTGCAGGATACAAAACCTAAGCCAAAAAACAACCTATAAACAAGCGTCTGACCCATTTTGCTCGACATGAAATCTGAAACTGAGCTGTAAATACAATGAAAAGCTTTATCACTACTACTGCTCTGGCACATTTTCTACTCTGTTCTGCAATAGATGGAGGAAGCAAACAAGAATCTGCTGAGAAAATCATTCACTTTAACACAGGGGAGTCTATTTTATCACTTTATTATTGTTTATGAGTAGAATCAAGAAGCTGTACGTAATGTTTGCCTAAAGAGGGACTTTCATGATGATTAAATACAAAAAACAAGGAACATATGATGAGATGGGTCTTCAACATCTACAGAACCTCCCAGCCATGTTATCTGATGAAAACCAGAAAATAAACTCTGATTGTGTCTATGAAAACACTGACACTTCATATTGCTCAGTGAAGAGGATCTTCTTTCAAGGTTGAGCTCTAATTTAAAACCAGTTTGGGAAAAAAAAAGAGCCCCACCCTGAAGTTTTACCTGGATCATCCAAACAATGGCTGACGTGTTTCTTTCAGATCGTTGGTATTTGTCTATGAGATACAGGCTCAGCAAGGATCAAACACTCCCAGAGTTAATGAAGAGGCACATGACCCGCTGTTCAAAGCYGTTTTCGTAAGGAAGCAGGTTTACAAAAAGGGTGTAGCATTCATTTCTCATTTTAATGTCAATGACTGATGGAGTGACAGAAACATGTGTGACAGCTTTGGTGATCAACCTAATGATGTGAYAGAAGGGTGAGCAGCTTTTCTTTGGCTCCTTCAGGGTTTTCATTCCAAATGGAGGACGATGTGGATTTTACTCGCGTCTAATCACTGGATATACATCTACAACTGGCTGCTACAGCTGTTTAATTTCAGAAAATGGCTACAACTCAGTTTTACAGATAATGGGATAAMATTTAGTGAGTGATAATTAAAACRTAAACATCTTTSCTTAAAACTTTGGAATAAACTGCTTGAGTCAAGTGTGACATCTTGCGAGATTGTGCATAACATTACCTTCATGGTTTGACTGAAATAGCTACGACAAAAACACTGATATGAAAGATATCTTTAAAATATGATAAAAGTTTTTTTAGGACAGCAAATATTTGTAACTCCTCATAAATATATCTGAGCGTAAACATTATAACAGGATCTGAGTGTTGTAAAAGACAAGGTGAGATTAGAAGTGTCCACAAACTGTCACTGGTGTGTATATATGTCTGTGTGTATATACTGTATCTACAGTATGCACGAATGTATGCATATATGTATGTATGTACATCTATTAGAGGTGCAACAATACATGTACCCGTATCGAACCAAACTGAACAATACAGATTTTAAAAATTTACTTTATCAACTTGTCTTCTGAAGATGCTCTGTGTTGAAGGATCAGTGGATCTGTGTTCGACTACTCCACCTAGGCTGCATTTTTGAGCACAGATCCACTGAGAAACTTGCTGTTTCAGCAACATTTAATTTAAAAACTGTACTTTTGAGGTTAAACAAATGTTTATAATTAATTTAAATAAATTACAAGTTAAAAGGGGCATGGAAATTTCTCTTTTTTGTATCGAAAAAATATCGAAATGCGAGACTAAAGTATCGAACCGAACCGTGAATTTCCTGTATCGTTGCACCCCCAATATCTATATATATGTATGGGTATGTGTATATATGTATGTATGCCATCCATGTATTTATCCATTTATTTTTAGGTGAGCGGACAGATGTTGGGTGTGTGGATCTGTGTTTTCTTGGTGTATATTTAATATATTTCTAATCTCTATTTCAGTCTTTCTGATTACTTTTCTCTTTGGTTTTCTCTCTTTTTCTACCTTCTCTTTGCTTAAAAAAATCACTGATGATGACGAAATTAAGAAACTAATATTAAGTTCTTTTTTCTACTGAAGTGATTAAAAAAAGAAAATAAAAAAAAATAAGTGTCCACAAACTCCCTGCTGTTCTGTGTTTCCACAAAACCAACCAAAATATGACTAATCCACCATGAAGACAGAAAAAGTGTGGTTAAAGTGTTTGAACTTGGTTTKGTTGCTGTGGTTGACTCAGAACAGCTTCCTCTGTTGGTTTTAGATAAAATGAAGCAAATTCAACTCATACATAACAACTTAAAGATTTAAGTTTTCTGTCTCATGATTGATCGCTTAAYCAAATTTTCACCTCAAATGACTTTCTAATTTTTTCTTTAAAGCAGCCAATACCTTCCTGTAACATCCAGAACCTTTAAACATGAGCTTATGTATTTATCATCTACTACACTTCATACAGACACACACTATCCAAGTAGTTTGCTCAACAAAAAAGCATCAATGGAAAAAAAACGTTTTCTGAATCCCAATATTAACAGGTCAGAATATAAAATCACACCAAGTCAGAACTGTCTTCCTTTCATCCTGTTGCTGCTTYAGACAATAATCCCCACAGAGTCTTCTGAACGTGAAAATAAACTCTAACCCTCAGCACGGTGGAGCTCCAGAGCGAGCTGCTCCCGGGCTCGAGCCTCCTCAGACAGCCTCTCCTGTAGCTCCTCCTGCTTCTGCAGCAGCTCGCTGATCTCCTGGTTGTGGCGGAAGGACTCTCGCATCAGCTCAGTCTGGGTCACCCGGGCATGTTCAAGCTAAGAGGACACAGARACGACAAGGTGTTGCACAAAATGAAAAATACAGGATAAGGAGAACGAGGTCTTTGGAGCCGTCACTGAACGTTTAGTCGACAGCTAATTTTGTTTTGACAATTTCACGCCACAGTTAGATTGAAATAAATAGTTGTAGCAGCTTAAACTGCTGCAGTTCGACTGTAGTGTCAGTAAAACAAAAACAAAGKTTAACAGGTAGAGATATTAAAAAATAGCAGATAGAGGAAGTGAAACTGCTGCAAAGATACTGTATGAATGGAAATTTGAAATTTTTGGTTTATGACATTTATTTTGCAATTCAAAGCAAATATGCTATCAAATGACAAGTGCAGTTTGAAGAACAGTGGCTCCAATAACTTATCTAGTGACAGGGGGTGGGTGGGGGGGTAATGTTTGTGGTAACTTGACTATCTTGCTGCAGGCTCTGTCACGCGAATTTGTTCTAGACAACTTATGCAAACTTGTGAAAATGTTATAAGACATCTACGCTGAGGATGGATTTAAAAAAAACAGCTGGAAGCCTCTTTTAGGCATGTACATACTGTAATGTACAAACTTACAAATTGATCAAATATATAAATTTTATTAGTAATTTATTAGTAATTTAGACATAAAAAATCATAATTTGGCATAAGTTAATGTTATAGTGTAACAGGGCCTTTAGAGACAATACACTTGTTGGTTTATAACCAATATGGCTYATTTTACTGTTGCACAAATATTTAATTTGGTGCTTATTTGCTACAAATAAACAAAAMAGAAAAGTGAAGGACAACAGATATGGTGTCATGCCTGGTATAACTGTTTACAACAAATGAACAGTAGCATTAAAAATAGCCTTGTTGGTCCTAAATCACTATTTTTTGAATGAAACAGTTTTATTTTTGGTATTTTGTATCAATTCAACAAGAGAATTTAGAACAAATTTTGTTTTCTGGCAGGCTGCTGGCATTAAAGAATCCAATCCTTTTATTTTTTTTGTATATGTGTTGACAACYGGGGTTCATTCTTTGAGTTTAGGAGATTTTTTTCCCCTGAACCATTCACAGGTTAAAGCCATGTGGTTTATAAACAAACAAACAAAAATATTCACTACTCTAAAAATCATTAAAAATTGGATTTTTAAAAAACAAGTAAAAATCTGCCAAAATCTTAAGAGAAACCTTAAAACAGCTTTAGAAAGTCTAAAGAACTTTTAATCAAGATAAYGTTAAAAGATTACAAATCTAGGCTTTTGGAAGCAAAATAGCAGAAAATGAGAGATGACTAAAGATTTTTACAACGGGTTTGGCAGCAAAGTTTATGGTTTCAGACTGTAATGGCTTTACGATGATCAAATACTGGACAAAAGGTAACGTGAACACATGCAACAGCACAGGATATGGTTTGAATATCTGTGTTAAAGCCTACCAATCAGGTGACAGAGAGCATAATTTCCCAGTAAAAAATGCTAGGAAATCAAGATAACGCAATAAACCGCCAGCACACGCAAACTCATTTTCCAAAGATTTTCATATGTCCCTGAGCAAAGGTCTTATTATTATGAGAACTGGAAATATGAACCTGCCACAGAGGAGAAGTCATATGATCTTTCACCTAATGACTGAGGAGAGCTACTGTCTGCATACGTGGAAAGATCTTTTAGCTTACATCATATGTGAATGCATAGACCTGAGCCATAGAAAGGAAAATAAATAAATCCATAAAACATTAAACAACATTACATATGCTCTACTTTAACTGGTAGAAGATGAACAACCCCCTGTGCTTATGTATAATTAAATCTGTGTGGGGTTAACTTACTGTATAGGGAGGAGTGGGCAAGGAGATTTTGGAWATGACCTTAAGCAGGTGTCCATTAGTCTTGTGATTGACGTGAGAGATCTGTGTCTGAATCACCACAGAGTTTTTCGTATTTAGGGTGCTGCAGAGTGGGAAGGGTCGGGGAAGGGGTACACGAGATTCCACCTCGTACACATCTTGATCCTCCCCTTCCAGCCACGTGCTGCTCTGCATGCTGGAGTTCCAGTAAGAACGATAGGAATCCATGGTTTTGCTTCCTATCCGGAGTCACGACAAGGGGTTTCCGTTGGCCATGATCCGTCAGGCTGAGCTGTACAACCTCAAACGGGAATAAAGTCCGGCGGGAAATGAAGCTGCGATATATGTTGTGGATAGCTCCAAGCAACGGTCTCTATGTGTTTAGTCCACAGACACAGGAAGCGTAAACATCTACTGAAGAAGGTGACATTCATCTCATTCACGTGCTGTCTAACTGAGGTAGAGCAGGTTCCAGGTCAGTGGTCAAACAAAAATAAAAACAAAAATCATCCAGGAAAGGTAAGAGTTTTATAGTCCTACAGTAAAGTGTCATCCTCGGCAGCAGGTCCAAGTCAAATCCAGGTCCTGCAGCCTAAAAGGCACTCCTGAACACAACCGTGGAAGGTAAGTAAACACAAACATGTCTTCTCTCTGTGTCCTGTGTTCAGGCGCGCCGTGTTCTCTGACCTTCTTTCTTCAGAGTGAAACCATAATATGCCGCTCACAACGCTCACACCCCCCACTACTGCTCTTTCTCTCCCTCTCTCTCTCTCTCTATCTGGAGATTCATTAACAATACAATCCGGCTGAAGCAGCCCCAACCTGCAGGCGAGCCTCCCTGGGGCCCCTACTGATTGTCTACTCCAAGCCTCGACCGGCTGACGGTGAAATGACAGCTCAGATGGAAAGTCGCTCAGTCATATTTTCCTTCTTACTTATTTCCAGAGTTGCCGTCAATCCCTTTTCTCAAATCTACCCGTGCTCATGTCCTTCTGTTACTAAAGCTAGTATTCCTACTAAAAAGGTAAAAAAAACTCCCCAGGTAGTTTTGAGCTTCCAAAAGAGGATACTCTTCCTGCTTCCTACGCTAAAACACACCTATCAGGATCCTGCTAAGAAAAAAAAAGTGGGAGGGAAGCAGGTGTGGCTTCAGTCTTGAAGGCCAGTCAACCAGGTAGATTTGCAAAGTGTTTAAACACACACACACACTCCCCAAACACACAAATAACCACCAAGAACACACGCCCGTTCTACAAATAGCTGCCAAACCAGATTCCCTCCTTTTGTATCAACAAAAAGAAGCTATTAGTCTATGCTCGAGTCTATCTGCATGTCTACGGTCATTTTTTCTTCACACGAGCTGTTTGTGTGTCTCGCTGGTTGATAACGGCAGAAAGCAATGAGGTAACAAACCCCTGCCAGAGGGCAAATAATTTACAGTCATGGCTCAAAGATGTTAAACATTCCTGATGGGGCTTGTTACATCAGCCTCCGCTCAAGACGTGGTGATTCAGTAACAARCAGACAAAACTAATGTACACCAGATCAATAACAACAAGAAAATCATTGGAAAAACTATTAGAGACTTGGTAGATTGCACATTGATTGTGCCATTAATAATGTGAACTTGGAAAAGATCTGTTACTTGCAATCACCCTTTAAATATTATATTTATTAAAGCTACAAAATAATAAAAAATAAGGTTTTTTGGAGTATTTCTCTCACATCTTTATACATTTGGCTGCTTTAGAAGATAAATTCCAAACAGCTGTTTGATGGTTTGAAATWAAATACAGCCAAAAATGGGGTGATGGTCCTTTAAAACCATGAGCATGACTTATAACAAGATTCAAATGACTCAGTTAATAACATGAACCAACAACCGGGATGCAAATGCTGCCTCGGTTTTCTTTAAAACTATTTTTAGACCAACAAGACAAAACTCATTTTAGCGTGAATAAAGCATGAATTCCAGCCCGGGGGGGGGGGGGGGGAGTTGTGCAGGCAGTTACAGTAACACGCTCAATGGCCTAGTTTAACTGGCCTCGGTCGCTCTGGACTGACACAGGACGCAGTGGGATGACTACACAGACACCCCTGTGGGGACGGGGTTGTTCTCTGCAAGCTGGACCAGGATAGGCTGCTTGGTCGGACAAAAAGCGCCGTGTAAATACTGCTTGTATCTACGGGCAACCACTGGGAATGAGGCAGCTCTTTTGTGTGGGAATTCTAGACAGGCCAACCTTTTTTTCCCCCGACCACATTCTGCCATCTCGACCCCCATTATGTCTCCGTGAACAAGTGCAGAAATCCACACAGAGGGGGTTAACAGTGCTGACAGTTCATTTAAACGTTTTGACAAAAACCTAAATGTGTCACTGGAGCTTTCAGAAGCCCCATTTGAACACTAAATGSAAATCAATTAGAAGATGTAAACTATTTAAAATTGTCCAAAAACGTAAAATAAAAAAATTGTATACCAGGGCTATTCAACTAAATTGCTCCGAGGGCCACAGTTACTGCAGGTAAACAGCTGAGGGGCCGAACATCCAGCAATTAAAGTCATTATGTAAATAAACCAACTATTACAAAGATCTTTCATCTTTGAAATAGTTTATTTTGCTGCATTTAATCATGAATACAACATACAGAACCCTATAAAAGTAGTCATAATTCAACAATATCAAAAACAAAAAGAACACGTTATGCCTCATATTTGAAACAAATATTATTTTGACGTCTCTGACTTGTCAAAAATTTAAACCAATTTTATTTTCACTTTCATAGTTCTATCTTCAATTGCTTTAGTTTTAACTGTCTTGAGTGTTTATAGAAATGTTTTTTCCAGCTTCTAGCCAAGATTCTGATGTTTCTGTAGATACCAAACATGTCTATGTTTAACTAAAAGAAGTTAGCGTAATTAAAGTAGAAAACTGGGGTTTTGGGCTTAAGAGATGAATGAACCAATTGGCGGGCCAAACTTTGGTCACTCGTGGGCCGGATTTGGCCCGCGGGCCGCMAKTTGAATAGCCCTGTTGTATGCCATTACAATACAATTGTGTTTTGGAGCAAGTATCTTGAGGCTCTTTATACGTTTGGCACATCTAGCCAATTGAATTTTGAAGTGTTGCACTGGTTAATTTTCAAAAACATTAACCACTTAAACCACTTGAGTGTTGCTTTAAAATACATTTAAAAAAGACTTAAAAAGCGTGTTTTCTACCTGTTCGGTCATGTCAGTGATGGCGATCAACATCTTCTCCAAAGCTGCCTGAAGTCGTCTGCTGATGCCCATGAAATATTCCTCGTTCTTGAGCTGTGGCTCTGCACCCAGGAGCAGGCTGTCCATCATCTGCTGGGACATCTCCAGGCTCTCGTCAGCCTCAAACTGCCCGGACCAGATGCTCACGTTGTCTGCACCAGTTTCACCGCTCTGGCAGCTTTCTGCAGTAACAGGTGGCAAAATAAATATGACACTTTTTTTTATTTATGCATCGTGTAAACTGCAACAAAATACAGGATAATATTTATCTAATTACAAATATGTTAGGCTCTGTGACAAAGAAAATATTACCAAAAAGACAGACAAGTATTTTATTAACTTGACAAGCCAGGATGCAAACAGAAAATTAACTTAACTCCATTATAAGAAAAAATAAGCATCTGGTTTAAATAAGTTTATCATATTCTTGTTTTCAAAGAATATTATAGTGGAAGGTGGAGGCCATGCAGTTCAGGTGCTGTTTTACCAGAGATAACTCTTTTTTTTATTTTGTTTATTTTCTGTTTATTGTCTTTAAAATAAATAGGTGTCAATTTGGGGACAATAAATAAAACAGCAAAATAAGTAGATAATTTAAATTATTATTACTGCTAAATGTAGACTAATAAAGAGTTAGGAAATCTGAAACCATCCTAAATATTACAAATATAAAAACACAACTGTGGTTCTAAAGAACTACTAAAATACTGTTGATTTACTCTGATAATACTGAGTTACATCAAACCGATACTGATAGCTACAGTCCGTCTGCATTTCATGTTTCGTTTCAACAAAAAAATTAATGTTGAACTCSACCTCAAATTTATTTCCATGAAAACAACGATTAGATAAAATGTCTCCTCCTCTGCACCTAAATGCAGGCATATCGGCAGCAAGCGGTGACTTTAATTTGCTTGTATGTAGTTAACAGAACCTGCTGTGAGTCGTTTTTCATCCACAAGTGGCTGCAGGTCATGACTGGTGTGTTTAGTTTAGTTAATGACTCTTCTGAAAAATTTCATACTAAACAAATAAGGCGTTGGGGTAAATGWTTAAGGCAGGGGTGTCCAATCCTGGTTATCGAAGGCTGCTTTACTGCACATTTTGCTTCAACACACCTGATTCACTGACTGAATTACCTCTTCAAGTTCTGCAGAAGCCTGTTATTCACCCATTCATTCAAATGAGGTGAGAGACCTCTAAAACATGCAGGATTGGACCTGGAGGACCAGGATTAAACGACACTTATAACATTTAGTATGAACAAATGCAGAAATCTCAACATAAAAAGCTGATCTATTATTATAGTCTTAAATAATATTTAACAGCAGATTGCTCAGTTTTGTTCAAGTCAGCCATATTTTTTTATTAATAAGAGCAGCTTTTTATATTATACAGCTGGGTTGTTTTTGCTTATGTTCTTATCTGGCAAATAAATATCCGTCCATGACGATATTTGCATGTGATAATGTTGGATTTGTTCGAACATGCACATCAGTATGTGGATAAACAAACTGATATGCATGGCTGCCAAAAATAAACAAAAACTTCAAGGATAATTGAAAAGACTATTTGTAACAGAGTTGTTTAAATTTAAGTCATATGCCATAGGATCATTTTGTGTTCAATTTAATGGTCAACTCTCCAGACATTCTGCATAAACATATTGTAAAGTGTGTTTTAAACTAGATATTTTGTCACAATTTAAATATGTTTGTTATTCTGATTTGAAGCTTGAGTAATTAAAATGCCATAAGATGGGTTATGACAACACACTGACTGTTGCTTCACTCAGGAAAGTTCAGATCCTCACAGCAAAGCAGCAGGTGTCTTAAACAATGTATGCAGGTAAACTAAAGAACAATGTTTTATTAGGTGGGAAGTTTTATTTCAAACTTTGACCCCTGAACCGGCTTTTAAAAAAAGCACCTTTCAATAATCCAAACCATTTCTAAATCTTGATACTTGCCTGAGGAATAAGGGTTTTTAGTTTCTGTGTTTTCTCTCTGCATGCTGGAAGGAGACGGCTGAACTTCTGCAGACGTGTCACGCAAACTTTGCATGTGGAGGCCTAAAGTTTTCTCTGCAGCTGCAGTTGTCTTCAGGACGTCAACAAGCACCTGGCTGAGCTTCTTGTTGGCTGTAAGCAACAGGTTTCTGAAAAAATAAAAAAAATTTAAACCATAAACAATGAAAAATATATTCTTGTTGGTTTAAGTCTACTGTAAAAAAAAGGAAACCTGTTCAGATCATTTTTATGCAGGGTTACAAAAAAGAAAGGGCAGTGGTACCTTTCAGTATCTTTATCAGAAGAGTCCTCATCATCTATTGACAGTTTGAATCCTCCTGCTACTGATGTATGTGTACCGTCCCCGTCATCATCATCTGTCTTCTTTAAAGCCTGAACAGGCAGCAGAGAGAAAACAGACAGCAGCCCCGTCATTGTCAAGTTTGAACTCAATAAGCAGACTCCTGAAAACTCAGCAGCACTGGACAGTGCAGCATTCTGCGTGGTCATTTGTAAAGCAAATTCAAATAAGGAACAGTAATGCGCACATAGGAACACTGCCTCTTTACGAGCACACATACACACAAACACAAACACACACTTTAGCTCCCATGGAGCCGAGAGAAACACTGCTATCTTTGTGCTGCTATGGCAACAGGTGCACCTGAGGGAAGGAGACAGGCAGAGGCAGCATCGCCACCTGTTGGTCAAACTGCTACGATACAGATTTTATCCTGATCAAGATCAGGGCCCGTATTTATCAAACTCCTTACAGTGGAATTTTAGACTTAAGTGATGAAAATTTCTTAGATTTGCTCCTACTCTCAGACTTAAATATAAGTGCCAGTTATCAAAATTCTTAAGCCTAAGAATCACTCTTACTCTCCTGAAAAGTTAAGACTGTTCCAGAGGACTCTTAAGTGGTTAAGAGTTGCCACTAGGGGTCTGAGATGAACTGAAGACAGAGATTACAGCTGTCCTCCTCCCCACCTGACTGTTATTCTCAGTTATAAGGTGGAAAACAGGTTTAATCAAAAATACAAAAGAAACAAAAGTAAAAAACAAACAAACAAATAAATAAATAAACAACTGTGCATAATGTTGGACTAAAAGGTGGATATTTGTGTGGCTTTTGGAGAAAATATTAAATATGCTCAGCTGGTGAGTAGGAGTGTAAGAAAATATCGATACACTGAAATATCGCGATATTTCATTTCCCGATACTGTATCGATATTCTAAAGCCCTGTATAGATTTTTTTATTAAGGTTTAAAATGTCAACTTTCCTGCCAGCCGTTCATTTTAATGTTGTAGTTCAACCTCTGACCACTAGTTGGCAGCAGTGAGCCAGCCATTTGGCTCCTCTACCTCTTGAGGTAGAGGCCATTGCTAAGTGTTGGGTGACCATATTGTAAATTAATATTAAAAACTAAAAGCTGCAAAAAATATATTTTCAAACTATTTATTGTCAAATTTAGCTTAATAACTGAAAATATGGATGAAATAAGAAACATGAAACAAATAAAATAAAATACATACARAGCAGAACACAGCTAAATGTATCAAAAGTATGTCTCTGTAATATTTGAATTTTCTGAGACAATGAATTTTGGTTTTTCATTTTTTTCCCCTGTAAGAGGTTTTTATTTAATAGAATTTTTGGACAAAAAAATCGCAATATATCGCCTTGCTTATAGTATCGCAATATATCGGGATATATCGTATCGTGACCCCTCTGTCATGATATGTATCGTATCGCCAAATTCTTGCCAATACACAGCCCTACTGGTGAGTGCATGGGGGGAACCAAGTGGCAAAGAGGAGGAGAAGGGAGCAGCTCAACATTACCTCAGGCTCTSAGACATAAAATCTTYAAAGCTGAGTTTTTGATTTAAAAAATYGTGAGATTTTCTTCAGTTTTCATGATGCAAATTTATGGAATTTACAGACAATCAGAACAAGATGACAAAATTARTGTGGAAAGTGAACTTATTTTAGGATTTTCACAGTTTTATCTTGCCATTTCTCCAACAATATTCTTGAACATGAAATCCGAGGCAGTGATTGGTTCATGCCGGGGTTTTTTTTCTAACGACGTCATCCAGGATCAGCTTTACGGCACAGCCAGGTGTCGCAGATCAGCTCTAGAATTACTCCTACACTTCACTTAAAAGACAGACGGAGACGCTTGATAACTGACTTTTACTCTCAGCTTTTAACTAAAAAWTTTTTTTACACTTAAGTCCACTCTTATTAGCATTCTTAAGAGTAATTCTAAGAAGTTTGATAAATACGGGCCCAGATCTGAACTGAATGACCTCATATTCTAAAAGTTACACAGTGAGACATTAATAAAGCAGATTAATTTAAAGCTGATAATATTTATAGTAAGCTGTAATATGGTAAGTTGCTTTCCCAATTAAATTGCCAAAAGCTCAATAATGAAAATAAAGGGTTACAAAAGTAAGAATTTTGCAGCATTTTTCAGGAAAAAGTACAGGTGACAATAAAATTAAAAAGCAGTACAAAAATAAGCTGTGTGCATTTTCAARCAGGGACAGAAGCTGTGTATGGAGGAGATAAATAGAAAGAGAATACATGTATGAATTATATGAATTTATAAATATATTTGTTGTGTGCAGTTGTWAGTTGCAAGTGTACAGCAGCGTTCAACAGCTCAGTGACACTAACCTGTCTACGTTCAGTTTTCTGCAGCTCCTCCTTTAACTTCCTGATCTCAGCGTTCTTCTCCTCCAGGACCATTTCCAATCTTTGCCTCTCCWCCTCCTCCAGCCCGGCGCCTGCTGACAGGGAAGCTCTTGGAGTCTGACAGGTCGACTCGCCGTCTTCGACCTCTTCGTCACCCAGCTGGGTCTGCATGGAAGTGCTCGTCTGGCGGGAACGCTTGTTGATTCGAGCCAGCTCGCTCTGCTGTGCGAACTCCACGGACATCTGAACTATGGCCTGTCAGAGGACAAAAAGACAAATGCTTTCTTTAGGATTCCACAGGATGTGAGATGAAACAACGAAAGCTCAAATTCATTTCTAATATAGATTTACAGAACTGATGGTAACATACTGTATAGTCCACTAACTACAATCTAATAACAAARATGTAATAAAATTAAGAATAATGCAGTATGTGTGGAGTGGAAGCATCCCGTCTCATTAATTAAACTCACTGCTGCCGTTTAGTCACAATAATTAAATACAACCTTAAAATACACATCTACTACCTTAGCAACTTCCTCCTCCACTCTCTCCTGCTGATGTTTCTCYTCCCCGAGGCTCTCCGCCGAGCTCCCAGCGCGGAAAGCACCGTTAAGGTCCAGCTTCCTCTCTCCTCCGTCCTCCCGACGCTCTCGTCTTCTCATCTCCTGCTCCTTTTCTTCYGTCAGTCTCCTCAGCTCGCTGCAGTGCTGCTCTCTGAGAGCGGCCACTTCTTGGGTGTACTTGTGATCCAGTGCTTTYCGAAGCGCCTGCAGCTGCGCCGTCAGGGCAGGAGATCTGGCGGACGAGCGCGACCCCGCGCCTCCTTCTGACAGTTCCTCCACGCTCGGGTCCTGAGATGGGAGAAGAAAGCAGAAAAGCACAAGTTAAAAAAATTATGTTTAAGATAGCACCACTTATGGACAATAAAACTTCCTCTAGGTGGGTTCTCTTTTAAAAAATGGTATGTATTATTGCAACGTTCTCCTTCTCAAAATAACACGTTTATTTTTCTTTTTAAAACCTTTGCTCCAAGATTAGCAAYCAAAGCTTGAACTAAACTATAATTGTAAAAACCACACTACATCTTATAAAATCTACCACCCTTGTGTTCCCTGATTCCTCTGAGCAAATATCAAAGCTAAGGATGGAAGAACTGACTGACAAACTGAGAGGATAGAAGTTAGAAAGACAACCACGAGAGATGGCTTAAAGACAGAGCGGTTCATTCACTCAAGACAAAATCCTCCTTTCATCCAACCACCAAGACAAGACGTCCGCTTGGTTAGAACAGTGTTATATAATGTCCAATCCTTTTAATTGTTAGATATAGGTCCACTCCTGATCCTGCCTTTGGAGATTCAGGGCAAACTTTAGCCTGAAGGTTGCACCTCGCCTCTTTCCTCCACCCTCACTGTCACTGCATCGTAACGCATTTCTCATCTTGTAGTAGGACGGGATGGATTTGACTTGGAAGATTAAAATGTAAGAGACGAACCTTTAGTTGCTCTCTGCGCTGCTCTGTCGTCTCAGAGCTGAACTCGGCAGCACTGGATAGGCTGGGAGACAAAACAAGATATTTGTTATTGGAAACTAAAACAAGTTCAAATGTAGCTCCTTTAATTGAAAATATCACAAAAATTTAAATGCACCCATAAAAACAAGAAGCAGCTTAACGAAAGAACAAATAAAATTTAACAATTCCTACATACCTTTGAGATAAATTAGTTAAGCTCATATTCAGCTGGTTAAATCCGGAATAAATTCTGTGATTTTTAGCTCATCTTTTGATATTCATGATGGATTAAAGAGACTTAAAACTCATCTATCCCTGCAGTAACCAAACATCTTAATGTGTGATCTTTTTTGTGTTTGTGTAGCGTGGATGTTTTTATTTTTTGTTTCRTCAACAGACTGTGCAACAAATTGCCCAACAAACTGATAATAAAGATTCTTGAAATTAAAATGAAAATTAAAAAATACTGGGAATTAAAGAATAGGTGCAATGCAACAAAATACACAAAAATGATACAAAAATGGTAAATGAGCTATTAAGAGCACAAACTGCATACAATTATTTCAGTTTTAATTAATGTATTAATTCAATTGAACAGAAAGAATATGAATATAATTTTATCATCTACAGTTC